GACGCGGAGCCGGTGAGCTCGGTCTCCGACGCGGCCACGCCGGAGGAGGACGTCGCGCTGTCCCTGATGATGCTCTCCCGCGACTCCTGGCCCGCGCCGCCGCGGCCGTACCCGTACCCGTACCGCCTCGACTCCGACGACGACGAGAGCAACGCCCGCCCGGTGGTGGTCGCCGCCGCCGCCGCGGCAGCGCAGAAGCGGACGCGGTACGAGTGCCCCGCGTGCAAGAAGGCGTTCCGATCGTACCAGGCCCTCGGGGGCCACCGGGCCAGTAACGTGCGTGGCGGCAGGGGCGGCTGCTGCGCGCCCCCGCTCAGCACTCCGCCGCCGCCCGCCCCGGCCCCGCTGCAGCCATTGCCAGAATGCGAGGGCAGCGAGGAGGACTCCAAGGCGCAGCAGCCGCACGAGTGCCCCTACTGCTTCCGCGTGTTCCCGTCCGGGCAAGCTCTCGGCGGCCACAAGCGGTCTCACCTCTGCTCGGCGGCGGCGGCAGCAGCAGCAGCAGCCGTCACGTCAGGCGCTGATCCTTCGATTGCAATGAAGAGCCTGGGTTTCATTGATCTGAACCTCCCCGCGCCCTTCGACGACGTGGAGGTCTCCGCCGTGTCAGATCCCTTCCTCTCGTCCAAGCCAGCAGGTTCTTGAAAGCTAGCAGAGCAAGCAAGCCGGCCGCTCGCCTTTCGGCTGATTCCAGTGGAGACGATTCGAGGTAAGGATCATCAGAGACAGAAAGAAAAGACTTACTGATTAACGAAGCAGCAAGGAAGGCCGCTCGCCTTTCCTCGTTGGTTTCAAACCGCGCTATCAGTCACCAACAAATTTGTAATAAACTAAGACTAGCCAACCAGCGAAGAGACCGATCTTTGCTTGGGTTGGGAGGTTCGTTTTTTTTCTTAGTAATAATATTTGTTCGTTTGCATTGATTCAGTCAGCTACAATATCTCTGTAGTCCTCCATTTCGTTCTGTCTTTTTGCTTGTTTCAAGCCATGGAACAGAGTAGATCGGGGCAGCTAGCTAGTTCTTGAATTCTCATCTGAATCAAGAAAATCCAAAAAAGAGCCAGAGAAGAAAAACTCTAGCTGAAGCGTTGCTTTCTGTTGCAGTCTCCAGCTGTGCTCGTTCCAACTGTCCATAGCAGGGAGCTTGGCAGAGCCACCAAGGCAATCGCAGTCATTAGCCGGTAGCCAAAAAAAACCAGCATCGAACTGGCGATAGCAATGCAGGATCGGCCTGGCGTTCATGTTTAGTTTGTTGCAGAAAATGAAACTCCGCCGCTCTGCTTGCTCTCTTGCTCTCACTCTCCTTTTGCTTCGGCCGCATTGCTGTTGCCTGCCTGCTGGAGTGCTGGATGCTGCCGCCGCCCACCACCACGGCACCACCTGCATCTGCCGATGCATCCTTCTGCTGCTTGCTGCCACTGCCAGGACCAGCAGCAGCAGCGAAAAGGCTAGGCATGAACAGTGCGCACTGTGCCTAGTCCATTTTGTTCTCTGCCCCCTTCTCTCGCTGCGCGGAACGCTACCCGGCACGAGTATAATGCATCCCAACAGATTGTCCGTCGCAGCAGCTGAGACTATAAAAAAATATAAGACCCATGGTTCAATACCCATTCAACATTTTCTTCAATAACATGACCCAAAAGAGAATCATTTCTGCAAATAGGTTTTCAGGAGAGAGGATACTTATATTTAAGTTGTGCCTCTCAGATAACCTAAAATAAGTCTTCCGTATAGGTACTCTGTTGGAGACTGATTTTGAGTCTCCTACTACTCATATGGGTCATCTATTGAAGATAGTCTAATGCAGTTTTGAATGAGTAATATAGGCATATAAATACGCCATATACGGATCTAGATATACCTCGGATATCACTGTAGGTGCGGCTACGAGCAGGGACGGATCTAAGGGGGGCTGGGGGCTCCAGCCCCGTACAGCTGGTGTATCAATGAAAATATGGGAAGGGTGAGGAAGAAGAAGAGGTGGAGAAAAGAAAAAAAATGGAGAGAGGAAAAAGAAGAGATCAGCCTCTCCTTTCGTCGCTAGCTACGAGTACTATACGAGATTGATTGTTGGTTGGTTGGTTCGAGTTGGTCTGGGGCTTTCGATTCTACAGGCACTGCTCCTGCTCTCTCCACGTTCGGCGGGAGCGCCGGGAGGTGGTTATATGCATGGCCCACCACTCACGTCCACGTGGCACCCGTCCCTCTCAAGCCCAAGCCATGAGCCATCAAACCGTCGTCATCATCCTTTCTCTTCTCTCCCCTCCCTCCTACTCCTACGACGCTTGGTTTGCATCGGCTGGCCTCAGGTCACTACAGTTCAGTGGTCAGAGTAACGTCGGTTGTTGATTCTGGGATTAACACGTGGTTAAAAGAGAATGGGGGTTATTAATAAATTCCTCATTAATAAATAAATGGGCCTGTACTGTTACCATACCTGGAGCGCGGAGCCCGAGGCGGATCTCGCGGGTGAATTCGGTTGGTCCACGGAGCAATTGGGGGGAACCGGCTATGACACGAGTGAACGCGAGACTTTTGTGACGAGCTCGCAGTCCCCTGGGTCTTCGGCGAGAGCCGAGAGGTTGAGCTTGAAAGTTGAACCGAGCCTCACGCCGCGGCCGTCCCATCCGGGCAGAAAATCCCCGCTCGGCTGGCTGCTCGCTTTGGACCGGTCTTGGCGTCGCACTGGCCGTCTACAGCTGCCGCAGAAAATTACTGGTACCGATAGCCTTTGTCCTGTGGCCCTGTGCCGCTAGCAGGAGCGTACGCATAAACGCAGGCACGTAGCAGGCAAGCGTTAATCCCGGTTTCACTTGACAGTTGCAACGACACCAACTGGTTACTGTCACGCTTTGTAGATAACGCCGTATGGTATTAGTATTGTTCGCACAGCCACAGGCGGGCAGACAAGGGAGTGTTCAGCTGCTATTATAAGTCGGCTTATAAATTATAGTATAGTATTTTTTTTTCTCTCAACAAATTAACCGTACAAATCAGCACAAGCGGCTTTACGAGCAGCCAAACAGAGCAAGATTATAGGCTTACAGTTACAGCGACGGTCCATTAGCCCGATGATCGACGTAGCTGCCGGGAACTATTCTTCGCACCTGATCGAGCAGCAGGTAACTGCGATCGGGGAGTGGGACAACAGTTTGGCTGGTAGCGTCGACGTGGGCGCAGCGTGCAGTGCTGGCGAGTGACGCCACCACGGCCACGGCGCGCGGTGGCTAAGGCTAACGCGACGCGACCACCACAAAATGGAGTCGCTTTCTTGGCACAGTGAGTGAGTGCTTTGCGTAGGTTAACCACCGGTCCGTTTGCGCTTAACTCTCCTCCGTCTTCTCTTCCCCCACAGCCAGACCTCGTGTTCGTGCGGCGTCGCTGGTGCACTGTTCATCGCCATGGTACGTGCTACGCGGTTCTACAGCGCTGAGAAGGAGGACACCAGCTCTGCGGACGATGGGAGCTGTACTTGTAGTACATCTCCAGAGTTTTGCTTTGGAAATAGCCTTTGCGACCAGCAAAGCCATTCATGCATGGTATACCCACTATCGCATGACGGCATGAGCAATCATGGACTTGTCTTCTGAAAAGCCGATGTGTGCGTGCATGCATACGAGACGAGTACATTGATGGGGGTTGGTTTCTCCGTGGAGCACACAGGGGGCGGGGCAGGGGCAGGGGCAGCTGCTGCCGCGCGCCGTTCACATACAGGCAAGGGATGAAGCCTGAAGGGGCGCATGGTACCCTGTCATGCGTTTGCTGTCTCGCAATTAGAACGGCATCGGGAATAGGCGTGGCGTACTGGCACGACGCACCAACAGCATCTTCCTCTGCTTTCCCCCTGCTCTCTCGCGGCTCATCTTTTCTTTTTTTCTCTGCCCGGGCTTTTACTCGATTGTTTTGATGGAGCCAATCCTGATTCTGGAGTCCAGACACGGAGCAAGCAAGCAAAAGCAATCAAGCAACAATTGGTTATGGTTGGTTTGTTTACCACGACAATGACAGGGTATTTTTGTTTCTGCCTGGGGACATTTTCCATGCCATGTCTCTGCCAGATTTTGTAAGTTCCGGCCTGCGCCAGGGAGGCTTGCTCTTGCTGTCGCTTTGCGAAGAGACATTTGGAGATATCTCATCCTCACAGTAATGTAACAGAAACAACCTTCCTTCGTCAGGGAAAAGGAAAACACTAAGATGCTGCAAACACCAAACGCTGCGTACTTTCTTGCTCATCCCTTACGTCGTTGCTCATCAGCTCATGTACCCTTTTATGCGTGCTGCCACAGCATCATAAGTGTGCCGGTCACTAGAGCTTAGTTGGCGCAGGGGCAGGCCTCTAGACTGTTGTTGAGGTGAGGGTGAGGGGCTACTGTTAGTAGGGCTCGATGGCACGCTCCGACGGTAGGAATCTTGCTTGCTTCTGCAGCCAAGATGGTTCCTTCACCCTCCCCTCTCATCATCAGCCGGGACATATTTTTGTTGCCATCACAGTCACACCCACAAGGGGGCAAAAGATGAGCTAGAATTTGCATGTGGACCTTTTGTTTGAAAAAACAAAAAACAAAATACAAAGGTCCAAGGCGAATGGCAATTTGTGGGCGAGAGAAACCTTGGGTTGTAAGGCATCATATGCATGGCACACCCCGTGGTATCAAAATAAACATTTTTTTTAAAAAAAAAACTTGGCTTGGATAATCTCATTTTAGTCTCCTGCTGCTGCAAGTAAGAAGCATCTCGGCTTGATCTGAATTGTACTTAGCAAAGCAGATGCACATAGCTCTCATTTCAAATATATGCTTAGCTTCTCACAAGTCAGAACTCAGAACTCCTCCATTGTAAAAGTTTCTTTCTTTTTTGTTTTTTAATTATGTAAAAGTATCAGTGTATTACTGTACTGGTGTGGCACGAGGCAGCAGATTCTGGCACAAAGGGAGAAAAAATCAATAGGGCGATAGTGCTTTCGTCCATTTGCAGCTGGTAAAAGATGAAGAAAAAGAAACATGGATGCCTCTTTTCCCAAGTTGGTACTGACCGGTAAGGCTGTGACCTAGGACCCTAGCCTGAATGCGGTACCGCGTGACGAACGAAGTGGTAGCTATGCATGTCATTAATACATAGAGACTTGGTTAATATTGTTACTCTTCTCTTTTTACAATGCCAGTAAGGGGCTTCGTCTGTTTCAGTTTCAGTACCACTGCGTGCCAAATAAGATGGATTCATGCAAGATAGAGAAGGCAAAACAAATTAATGGTGTAACATTGTAGTCATTTTTTCCCCCGTGGAAGTAAATTGAAGTAATCTTGTTAGAGGGTAGTGAAAAACCTCTTGGCCGAATATGGCAGTAGGACAAGAATAGCCTTAAAATGGTGGAATATGGCACAGCATATGAGCTCATTTGGTCCACACAAATACAGAAACAAAACTGGCACCATGCTTAAAAGAGATATAGCTTCTGAATGCACCATCCCACAAAAACAGGAAGCATCTCCGTGAACGAAGAGCTGAAAAGGGAAGCTGGGGGAAGAAAGACAGAGAGAATCGTTTCCCTTAAAATCAGTTTTGTTTGTTTTTTGCTTGTCCATTAGCCTCGGTTCTATACTGGCCCTTTCACCCCGTCTGCATGAACTGACTCGGTGAGTGACCAGCATTTGCTGGCTCATGTAGGAGCGCTACTGCACTGGTTCTTTGCCGTATCCCACTGTAGTGTGTCTGTACTTGGCATCGGCAATTAGTATCAAAAGCGGCCTGTCAAGAAACGAATGCATGTGCCTCTACATCACCTCCATGGCTCCATCCTTGGTCCCCTTGATCTGATCATCCCTTGTTCATAAACCAGCTAGAGACGAGCGTGTGAGAAACGGCCCAGCAGCTGTGTTTCAGGTTGCAAACTAAAGTCAGAGCAGGAAAGAGCGGTTTGTGTACTGCACTGCACTGCCAGGCTATCATGCCCTAGTACACTAGTACTGGAGTAACCTACTAATGTTACATACAAGCATGAAAGCAAGGAGTGGTACTCTTAATTCTGAAGCCTAGATGCCTTTGTACAGCTGCTTTGGTTTGGTTTCACTTTCAGTGACGCGAAAAGTGAAACGCGGGGCGTTCAGTGGTGAAAGAGACTCCAGCTCGAGTGCAGTGCAGCCAGGTTAGCCGCCATTCGCGTTGATGTCTTACAACTCCAGCTGCGTAACTGATGAGCTTGAGCTGCGCGGGGAGGGAAGTGCTGCTCAAGGCCAATGCGCAGTCGGTGCCTACATATCCAATGTCGTGCTTCAAACTCTCGCCGATCTGCCGCAAGCTTACCTCGGCGGTGTCCAACTACTGGTGGGGCAGCTCGCTTGATAATCACAAGATACATTGGCTGCGGTGGGAGAAACTGACACGATCGAAGTGCCAAGGAGGTATTGGATTCAGAGATTTCACTCTTTTCAATCAGGCGATGCTCCGTAAAGAAGGGTGGATGTTAATTATGAGGCCGGATTCGTTAATTGTGTGCTAAGGTGCCGAGGGGGAAGTATTTCCCGAATGGTGATTTCCTTTCAGCTACCAAGAAAAAACGAAGCTCGGAGACGTGGAAATCGATCCTCCATGGGAGAGTTGTGCTAAAAAGAGGGCTGATCAAGAGAGTTGGAGCGGGGGAGACAAATATCTGGCGGGAAAATTGGATCCTCGGGCTGAGGTCTCTCCGGCCATTGGTGAGGTTGCCGACAGCGGATGCAGAGGTGGTGAGCGGTCTCTTTGTCCCTGGTACGCGTGTTTGGGATGAGGAGATTGTTCACAAATCGTTCATGTCGTTGGAGGCGACAGAGATACTGAAGATCAAGCTAGGAGTGAACCTGGAAAGCGATGTGATGGCCTGGGCTTTTGAGAAGAATGGTTTTTACTCAGTGCGCACAACCTACAGGCTGCTCAAGGACGAGCAAATGGGGCAGGCCATGGCTGCGACAGGGGAAGCCTGGGCGTCGGGGAACGATCGGGCCTAGAAGTTTGGTCTGGAAACTGAATGTACCTCCGAAAGTGCGTGTGTTCTGGTGGCGGGTGTTACAAAGCTCCCTACCATCAAAAGCGGAGCTCAAAATAAGACATGTCTCCAAGGAGAGTTTCTGCGAGATGTGTGGCGATCCACCGGAAACTGTGTACCATGTGGTATTCCTTTGCCCGGTGGCGAAAAGATTCTGGGCTGAGGTTAAGAAGTTCTCGGGGGTGATAATCCTAGCCCTCCACACCTGCACTTGGGCCACAGATGTCCTCCGTGCGGACATTTGTTCCACTAACACGGCTGCTTTGATAGTTTGTGGAGCATGAACGCTGTGGTCGGGAAGAAATGCCAGGCACCATGGACGGAACGTGTGGGAACCTGGTGCGGCAGTACTGACATATACCTACTATGCTAGAGGACTTGGCTTCGCTTAAGGTACCCGTCAAGCTGAACCAACCAAGAAGGGTGGCGAGATGGCAAAGGCCGGATGATGGATGGGTGAAGGTCAATACTGATGCAGCCTTCGACGCTAGCTCCTGCACCGGTAGCAGCGGGGTGGTGATCAGAGATCATGCTGGCCGAGTGCTCTCAGGAGTAGCGCGGTGGTTCGAGCATGTGCCGGATGTGCTGACGGCTGAGGCTGTGAGGCATTGGTGGCAAAGGAAGGGCTCGAGTTGGCTGTGGAGAACGGATATGATAGAGTCATCCTCGAAGTTGACTGCAGCAGTCTGAAGTCGTTGCTTGATGATCAGAACGGGATGAGGTCGTCAATTGGAGGCCTTTGGTTTCATATTACAGAGCTAGGTAGGAGTTTTTTTTTTTTTCAAAGTAGTGTGGGTGTGTAGGGATGCTAATTCGGTGGCCCTGTTTTGGCTAGACTATATCCCAGAGTGGTTATTGGGATTAGCTGCCGTCGATTATACTCCTGTCATTGATTAATAAAGCTCTGTAATGCTAAAAAAAACTGAGTAACTAACAATTGCAGGTTGTGAATCATGTGGGGGGAGGGAGATGCAGTGATTTACGCAGAGGTCAGACGAGGCGACGGCGAGAGAAGCCCAGGCCATTTGATTTTTCGCCTCCTGCCTAGGCCAGGGCAAAATACCCGATACCCATTACCTATACCCGAATTACCTAAACCCGGACCCGAATTACCAGAATCCGAGGTACCCGATCCCAAATTCGGATATCAATTTTGATTACCCGAAATTAATTTAGGTAATTCGGGTAATATCCCTCGATACCCAAACTACCAAAACATTTGTCTATGTCTTTATATTTATCATGTGCTTTTAGTTGAACACTTGAACTTATCACTTTATTAGAATATAATTATCTCTGTTTGAACAAGTGACTATAATACATTATTCTTTATAAAATGCTATTGAAAATCTATACAAATTGCTGCTGAAATTATATATAAATTGCTACTGAAATTTTATTTAGTTTGTTGTTTTATGTAAATTCGGGTATACGAGGAATACCCGAACCCGAACACGAATTATCGGTACCTAAAATTACGGGTAGTATTTTTTCGGGACTAATATCGGCCGAATTTTGAATTACCTGACCAAAAAACATCGGGTAACCCGAACGCCCCGGCCGCCTCCCGCGTCCGATGGTCGTACTCGTATGCCGGCGGCCCAATGTGACCGTGATATCTCGGTCGCGGCTACGCGCGTGCTTCGGTTGGCTGCTGGAAACCTGACCGTGATATCTCGGTCGTGGCTGCGCGCGTGCTTCGGGTGGCTGCTGGAAACCATCCGGTCCGAACGGCCATGCGCGGGAACGGCCACGCGCGGGAACGGGAGGCCGCGCGGGAGGCAGTACAGTACCACGCAGGAGGCAGTACAGTACGGGTATGTATTTTTTTCTTATTTATTTTTTCTTTCCTTTCTTTTTTCTTTTGATTTCTTTTTATTGTTTTATTTTCCTTCCTTATATTAATTCTTATGTTTTCTTTTCTTTTTAGTTTTCTATGTTTTCATTTTTATTTTATTTCCTTTCCTTTTCTTATTTATTTTTACCTTTAATTTATTCTTTTCCCTTTTTGATCCTTGCTTCTATTTATACTTTTTTCGTTTCTTTTTAAGTTTTGTATGTTTTCATTCTTATTTTATTTTTTCTTTCTTTCTTTTTTTTTTCTTTCTTCCCTTTTATGTTTGCGTCTTGTACATGTGATGTTCTATTTTTATCTTATCTTTTCTTTTTTATTTTTGATTTGTTTTCTTTGTTGCTTTTCTAATTATGTTTTTCTTTGATTCATGTTTTTTATTTTTTAATCTTTCTTTTTTTTTTCTTTTCTTTTCTTTTTCTTTTTTCTTTTTCGTGCATCATTCATTTTTTATTTTCTTTTTATGTTTTATGCATTTATTATTATTATTATTATTATTTAATATTTTACATTTTTTATTTCTTTTTTCTTTTCTTTTCTTTTCTTTCCTGTTCTTTTCTTTCCATATTTTTTATCATGTTCTATGTTATTTTTTTGTGATGTTCATGGTATACATGTGATGTTCTATGTTTTATTTAATGTTTACGTGTTATACATGTGATGTTCTGTGATATTTTTTATGTTCACGTGGTATGCATCTAATGGTCTATGATGTATTTTGTGATGTTTGCGTAATGTACCGGTGATGTTCTCGTAGTATACATATGATGTTCTATGATATTTTTTGTGATATTCACTTAGTATACATGTGATGTTTCACGATGTATTTAATGATGTTCACGTAATATATATGCGATGTTCTATAATGTATTTAGTGATGTTCTATGGTGTATTTAGTGATGTTCACTTAGTACACATGTGATGTTCATCCTTATTTAAGTTATTCATTTATTTTATTTATTCTATATATTTATCATTTGTTAATCATGCTTTTATGTGTATCTTTCTTCTTTGTTGTTTTACTCTAATTAATTGTTTTAATAATTTTATTTTTTTTATTTTTTATACATGTGATGTTCACGTAGTATACATTTATTGTTCTACGTTGGGTTCTGTCATGTTCACGTAGTCTACATATGATGTTCTAGATGTTTTTATCTTCACGTAATATACATGTGATGTTTCTGTAGTATAATGTAATGTTCTATGGTGCTTTTTATGATATTCACTTAGTATACATATGATGCTCTACGATGTATTTAATGATATTCACGTAATATATATGGGATGTTTTATAATGTATTTAGTTATGTTCTATGGTGTGGTTAGTCATGTTCACTTAGTATATATGTGATGTTCTATAGTATATTTTAGAGTTAAATACACTAACGGCCTTTAAACTTGTAGCGTTGTGCCATTTAGATCCACGAACTCTTAAAATCGAAATTCGATCCCTGAACTTGTTAAATGGTGCACAGATCCATACCCCCTTCGGGAGAAGCTGACTAGGCTAAATTTTTTTAAAAAATACCCTGCTATAGTCATGTTCTACCCATGCCATCCATCTCATAGGTCGCGCTCGTCATTCACGGCTGCCGCCATACGCGTAGTTTGATCGTTTCGTTGTGCCTCAGCTCGTAGGATGCGCTCGCCATTCGCAGTCACACAGGAGACCGCTCTACTGCCCCCTTCTAGACACAGAGATGACGCCCTGCGTGGTTACGTACCACTCCCTAGTGCGAGGCATGCACACCACGACTTCCGGCTAGGCGGTCGCTGCGTGATGTCAACATGTGGCACCACCCGGAGCCGCCCTTGCGAGGTGTAGCTGTGCTGCCTATTGCGGCACGTAGCTTGGCCACAAACATGCGGCACAACGGTCTACTGGCTGCTGCATGCCTGTATGTGTGCAAAACATCGAAAGATAATATAGTCAATCAACAGAATGGGAGTCGCCGTTGTTGCTTATCCACATGATCAGAAAGGTATGTTGGTGCCTGGCATGGAGAAGAACGTCACCGCCGCCATGCGCGCCATCACTGAGGCCACGGGCGGCGCCTTCTCCTTCGTCGAGAACCAGGCGGCGATCCATGACTAGTTCGTGCGTGGCCGTGCAGTGCAGGAGGCGCGCGTGTCGCCGTCGCGTGCCTGTGCAAGGAGGGAGGATGGCCAGTTTGGGGAGATGGATGGCGCGGCGAGTTCCGTGGGCACGCGAGCTTCGGGAGCGTGCTTCTGTACCAGGGCATCCGCGACCTTCGGGACGGTGTCATGTCCACAGAGGCGTGGCTGGCTAGGCACCCCGGCAGGCCTAGTCTGATCCTGTTTTCTCGCACTACCATGAGGAAAGCGCGCTGGTGGAAGGTCGGCCACGAGGGAAGCGCATCGGGCACCGCACTGGTGGACGGCCGACCGCGAGGAAAGCAACCGCGAGCAAACCTCACGGGTGGACGGTCGGCCACCGATGTCGCGCACGTGGGAGACGACGGCCGCCGCACGCGAGGGAGACTGAGGTAGGACGTGACTATCAGGTGCTTTCTGTAAAAAATTTAGCCTAGTCAGTGCCTCCTGAAGGGGTATGATATCTGGTGCACCACTTAACAAGTTCAGGGGCTCGAATTTCGATTTCGAGAGTTTGTGGACCTAAGTGGCACAACGCTATAAGTTTAAGGGCCGCCAGTATATTTAACTCTATATTTTAAGATGTTTGAAAAGTATCCATGTGATGTTCTCTTAAATTTTTCTCTATTACGTGTATTTTCCTTATGCTTTGCTCTAATTTTATTATTTTTTAACGTTATGTATTTATTTATTTTTATTTTGTTATTATTTTTTATTTTCATGGTTATTATAATACCAATTCAATGAACCTAATATTGTTCTCGTAAATCGAGAACGAAGGCAGAACATTATTTTTTTGAACTTAGAACATTGCTTCTGCTCAATAAAAAAATTGTTCTATCTTCAGAAGATAAATGTTCATTATAAAATTTATCTAAATATATCCATGTGAGATCTTGTTTTGAAGAATTTATTGCAAGGAATATGATGATATAATCGAAATTTAATTTAGATGTTTAATTTAACATTTATTACTTTTAAAACTTGTGCAG